TCCACTTTGCGTCATCTGATCTGGGCTCGGATTGATAGAATGCTTTGGGAAGAGCTGGGGGAGTGTTTCACACTAGGATCCCCTGGGGTTCTGACACATTCATGGGAGGAAGGCATCTGGGTCAAATGCTACAGTTTTAGAGGAGCTTAAAACACCTGAAGACAATGCCCTGAATTTTATGTCTGCCTGAAACCAGAAACAGAAACCCCTTACCAGCTTACTCAATAGAGTTGATTCAGCATAGAAAGTCACCAGGAAAAGATGATTGCATCTTACTCTAACCGAGTAAATAAACTAACACAGCGGGGAGGTGCAGGATGTCACCCTTAGGCCAGGGCTCTGAGTGGACAGCCCTGTCAGAGTCTATAAATGGCTATTCCCGGAGTGGCAGATGGCCAGAGAGTGGCCAATTGGAGGCACAGTGTTGAGCCTCCCACTGTTTACCCCCCAGAAAAAAGACAGCTTGAGTCTCCTGGCCCTTTCCCCAGAGAGCAGGAAGTGCCCAGGCCTTGAGGATCACCAGAGGCCGTCCAGAGTTACCCATACCCTCTCCACTTTGGCCTCAGAGGCCAACTCTTTCTTCTCTCTCTGCCCTTTAAAATAAAAAATTTTTCTAGTGTGAAAGTATTATACGAATGTTCTGTGAACTTCAAATAATACAGAAATCTAAAGATTAGAAATTTTCCATTATTTGATGCCTCCTCTCTCCCCAAAATAACCTAAAGTTATTTATATACATCCAGAATTTTTCATCTCCATAATTATTTAGAGACATATATAATTAATAGAATGTAAATATTTTACAGTGCACCCTGTTCTCAAGATGCTTTTCCACTGTAGATGTTTGATAAATATTTATTGCATGAATGAGCCATAATTTATTCAATCCCCTATTAGATGCTTTTGGTTTGTTCCCAGTCATCTAATAAACATGATTTTAGATATAAAAGACATAATTGAAATACACGTAACACATATAGAAACATAACCCATAACTACAGATCATAAATATACCCTTAAATACACTAATAAAACATGCATGCAACGGAGAGGTGTTTCGGGTGCCTTCTGGTGTATTTCATGGGTATCCCTGGAATATATATATTGATAAATCAGCCTCAAAAAGAAAGCTTACAGACGGTGTTTTAGGATCTGTGGGATTAAAGGATGGCCGTCCTGCATTTGTTTTGTTGTCTTAACATAGCATTTGTGATGTTGTTATATTGGCTTTAAGTCCTTGGCAAAGCAGCTTGGCTAAGATAAGATCCAGAAACCACGCGTGATAACAAGGCAACAATTAATTTTAGATAGAACAGAAAAGGAATCAGCTACAAATTCTCTTTAGAACAGGAAGGAAAGAATGATCATGGGTTTGTGGGAAGGAAGGAAAGAAGCAAGAAAGGAAAGTGGAAAAAGAATGGAAATGCTTTCTCCTGCTGGTGGTTTGGATGTTTGGACTACTCTTGTCAGATGCTACAACGTAATAACTGTAAATGTTTTAAAGGATGCGATATTAAGACACATTTCCCTTTCTTGTTCCTGGGGCTGAAAACACAGTGGTTTACTTCCTGCCACAGGCTGGAGGTGTGGCCGCTCCTGGGTTGGTCCACGGAAGCCTGCAATACCCGATGTCCATGAGAGTGAGCGCGTCCCTGTCTCTAGGTGTTGTTGCTTGTGCTGAAATGAAGTCTGCCAGGCAGTACCGTGGCATGGAAGGGATGGTGGCGGAGTGGATGGCACTGCAGATGGAATGCAGTGTCCCAGGCAGCCAGGGGCAGCAGCTCAGCCCTTGCGTGGGCCTGAGCTTGGATCAGCCCCCAGCTGAAATAGCAGCTGTCACGGTGACTGAACCAGGGAAAAGAAACCCCGCTCTGTGGTCTCCATGGGACTAGGGAAAAAAGGAAATGGGTTTTTGTGACTTTCCCTTCTTTAGAAACAAAAGTGCTTAAATGTGATCCTTCAGCTCTGTAAATGCAAACCAGGGCTTGGTGGACCGGGGAGAACAATTAGGCCAAAGACAGCGCAGGAAGCCAAAAGGGGGCAGAAACCCAGACAAGGATGCTGAGCCAGGGGTTGGGGTGGCGGGGGGAGCGGATATGATAGCAAGGAAGGAGTTTCAATGAGAATGAATACTGATTAGTGACATGGATATTAATGATGACAGTAATTAACAGGGGAAAGGAAGGGCTGTCATTGTCCCAGAGTGAGTAATCAATCTTGGCAGGTGATAAATAATGGTTCGGCAAGCTCAGCGGAAAGATAATCCGCTGGCCTTGGGGAGAGCTCGGCTAATGCAGGAGTGTCCTCGCAGTTTCTAGGCAACCCACAAAAAAAAAAGAGAACTATTTTTCTTTTTTTTTTTTTTTTTTTTTTTTGAGAGGGAGTCTCGCTCTGTCTCCAGACTGGAGTGCAGTGGCACCACCTTGGCTCACTGCAACCTCCGCCTCCCGGGTTCAAACGATTCCTCTGCCTCAGCCTCCCAAGTAGCTGAGACTACAGGCGACCGCCTCCACGCATGACTAATGTTTTGTATTTTAGTAGAGATGGGGTTTCATCATGTTGGCCAGGATGGTCTTGATCTCCCGACCTCATGATCCACCCATCTCGGCCTCCCAAAGTGCTGGGATTACAGGAATGAGCCTCTGTGCCCGACCAGAAGTATTTTTCTTTTGAGGAAAAAACAGATTAGAGTCTCTCCTCTACCCCAGCTTGGGACTAGTTCTTTTTTGATTTCTGCTTTGTTCCTCATTTCCTGGGACAAATGTTGAACTTGTGTAATTTGAAGGAAATTGACACACGGGCACATGTACATGCGTGCACACACACACACACACACACACACACAGTCACTCTCTCGCTCTTTTTCTTTCTAAGAATGTGAATGAATATTTTTCATCTGAAGTTTAACTCACAGATGCCATCTGTGAGCAGCAAGAGCGAGGAGAAGCCTAGAAATCCTGCCTTTGAGGCTGGTGTGGGGACGTTGAAAATTGCAAGGCTGTGTCAGCAGAAAAAGAGCACACAGGAGGATGAGGATGGCCCTGGCAGTTCCACTCTTCAGGGTTACATCACTTGCCATGGAGCCAGAGGGAAACAAAATGTCTAGGCTCTCTGTCTTGCACCAGACCCACTTCTGGCCACCAGTCATGTATCCAAGAAATCTGCTTTCTGGGAAAAGGCAATCCTCACAAAGCCCCTCTGCTGGATCTCCAGGCCTTCAGCCAGGAATCCAGCCCAGGAGAGTTCTTGGCCCATCCCCTCCCTCGTACCAAAGTCTCAGACCCACGGTAGGACTCTGATATCTAGAAACATCTCCCCTTGCAGGCTGTTTTCCACCAAAAAATTCAGAAGTGACAATGCTACACCTTCAATATTCTGCACTGGTTTAAAGTGAGATTTTTGGGTAGCAAATGCGGATTGACCAGAAATTCAGAACCTTCTAGAAAACTGACTCTTCTACTCCTATGTACACAGTGCTGCTCTCAGAATGTTGTTTGCAGGTCACATTTTCAAAGAGAGACAGACAAAAGGGAGCATATTCAGAGGATTGGGAACATATGGTGAGGACCTTCAGGCCATGCCCTGCAAGGTAGCAGCGAGGGACCCAGGCTTGTTGCATTTGGAGGGAGGATGTCACTGGTACCCCGTAGGGCTGTCCAAATAGCTGAAGGGTTGTCACACAGAGTGGTTAGGACGGGATTTGGTTTTCCATCATCGAAGAGCAAAACTGAAGCCAAAGTGAGGAAGTCAGAGGGGCAAGTTTCTGTTCAGATAAATCAAGGCTGATTTAACTGGGTCAGGCTGGGTAGGGGGAATTTGTGACTTCCCAGGTACTAGGGATTCTAAACACAGGTTACAACACCTCTTCTCCAGGGTGTTGTGGATGGGACTCATGTACTGGCTAGGGTTGGAGTAGTAGATGCTCACGAATGGCATCTGTGAGTTAAACTTCTGATCAAAAATACTCCTGTTCATTCACATTCCTAGAGAGAGAGAGAGAGAGAGCGAGCGTGTGTGTGTATGTGCATGTGTACATGTGCCCATGTGTCAATTTCCTCCAAATTATACAAGTTCAACTTAAAAATGCCTTCAGACTTTTAAGATTTACATTTGTTAAGGTAATACTAGATACCAAAACAGCGAAACCCCAAATTTCAGGGGCTTCACACAACAAAGTGTATTCCTTAGTCAAGTCAGAGTCCCACATGGGCTTAATGTCCGTGGCTAGAACCATAGCTCCCTCCCTATTGTGGCTCTGCATTGCCCCAGATCTTTGGAGTCCCCCATATCCAGCCAGGGAATGTGATTGAAAGGGGCGGAGCTATGCAGAGCCATGTAGGAGGTTTTTTTTCCAGGTCTGGAAGAGGCATAGGTCATTTCTACCCACATTCTATTGGCAGAACTCAGTCCATGCCTAAGTGCAGGGGAGTCTGGAAATGTAATCTAGCTGTGGCACAGTGAGGAAAGAGATTTTGGTGAATACATAGACGTTGCTGCCACAAACGCAGGGACACATGCCTTCAGGGACACATGCCTTCAGGGACACATGCCTTCAGGGACACATGCCTTCAGGATAGGCCTATGCCAGAAGAGATGAGAGTTTTGCAAGAGCCTATGAGGCCACCTGTGTTGGTGAGCCCTTGTCAGTGACAGCAGGGAGCTGAAGAGGCCTGCTTCTTCAAGAAATGGTCTGGGGGCCAGGTACGATAAAGTTTCACCTAGCCTGTCTCTGGGAAGTCCTCTCTAGACACTTTCTAGAAATGTGAATGTAAGCTCCTCCTGCATCATCAAAAGTGAGTGTTTTTTGGACAAGAATGGAATTGTAACTATGGAAGTGTCCTGAAAACGGAAAGGATTGGTTAGAACAGAAAAGCATCCATATTATCCCGCTCTACAGTGTGTACTAGTTGGAATTAGGATTCTCTTAGGTAAATATGTTTCTTCTGCCACAGCGTTAAACGCTCATGAGGTCTTCAGCCGAAATTGCTTTATCGTTGCAGGTACTGACATTGTGCAGTGGCTTATGAAGAACCTTTCCATTGAGGACCCAGGTACTTGACCTTTGACCCTGCCCTCATCTACCCTGGTATCAGTAAACATCCCATAACCAAGTTCCAAACTAGATCCTCCTACCCTCCTGAGAACGGGCTTGTAAATGTGAATTCCAAGACGTGGAATCACACTATTTACAAATAAAATTAATTTATCTTCTCCACTGAATATTTATCTTTAAATTTAAATCATGCTTTGAGGAAATGAGCAACTATTTAGAATGCCAAAGAGCCCAATACAATAACGTGTGAAATGAGTTGAATTCTCATTAGCTGCAGCAATTAAAGATAAGTTGTAGCACTGCCACTGAACAGCCTTCCAGAGCCAGCTCTTAAAATTAGATTGCCTGATCCACAATTAAGATGTTTAATTATTTGCTAAGACTCCCTCTGTTTTCTGCTTCTGCAAGAAGTGAAGGAATGATTTTTTTTCAACTTTAATTGCGCATTTCAATTAGGAAGGCCTTACCAGGAAAACAACAGCAAAACCATGGCCAATAAAACAATTTCCAAATCTGTCCTCCCACCAGAAAATAAGCAGTGAAATTTATTTTCACAGCGTAATTAGGAAATGGGGTGGGGGGTGTTCCAGAAAAATAAAAATTCAAGGCAAGTAAAGCTTATTCCCATGTGCTGTTAGTTAATACTTTTCTGAATGTATTACATACTCCTTTGCCTTGATTACCTGAGTATTCTTGATGCCTGAAGGTCACATTTATAAAGATCCGCTAATTCGCTCTGATGTTCTTAATGGACATTGGCGTGATTAGACTTATCTGCCCCAAATTAAATGGCCCCGAACCACAATGCTTTTTGAAGATGGTTTTCAAGTGCCCATTCTCTCCCTGTGACCTTCAGCCATGATTCCTCACTGGAATCAGTGTGTCGTCTTGGCATTCCTGTATTTTAACCAAACATTTCTAAACTGTTGACTGCAAAATGACACAATTTCTATACAGTTTAATTATATATAGAACTAGAGTGCCAGAACTCTGAGTGCCAGAAAAGCGGATCATTCATAGAAGTGACCTGAGTCTTTTTACCCACTTGATTAGGGGCTACTCTCATAACTCATGAAAATTCTGAATTCTAGTCAAGTTCTTGATTCACGGGGAGAAAACTATACATGCCAGTCCTTTGTAAGGGATAGAGCCCCAAGCAACCCCCATATGTGTTACGTCTGATGCAGCCTGGGCTTCTGAGTGTCCACTTGGAAAGTCTGTTTCCTGTGATTATGATTCTAAACTAAGGAACATGTTTTCTCATAGCCACCTTTTCTCTTTCAAGAGCACTGGCTTCTTTACCCTCCCCCCCAAAAATACTCATTGCAGTTCTGACATGTATTTTGTTATTACTGTTATGAAACCTAAATTGGCTAGCAGTATGTGAAAATGAGCTTCAGGAATCCTCTGGCCCTGGCATGAGAAGCTTCTATGAAGGGTCCTGAATGATAAGAGTTATTTCTATGAAGATCCATTACACTCTGATGCCTTTGGGAAGACACTGTGGTATTGGGGCCTGTTTGGGCTTCTGCAAAGTGGCTGAGGCGGAGCTAAGAGCACTTTGCCAGCCGGGAATAGAAGCAGGGAGGTGAAGCAAACCAAGGCCTTGGGAAATGGGCAGATCCAGCGTCTGCCCCTCTCTCCTTTCTTTTTCCCACCAGCCAGTTTTCTGTTATTTTTTAGTTTTTGAGACAGGATCTTGCTCTGTCACCTAGGCTAGAGTGCAGTGGTACTGTCATGCTCACTGCAGCCTTGACCTTGACCCAAACAGTCTTCCACCTCAGCCTCCTGAATAGCTGGGACTACAGGCATGTGCCACCACACCCAGTTAATTTTTTGTTTTATTTTTTGTATAGATAGGGATCTCACTGTGTTGTCCAGGCTGGTCTTGAACTCCTGACCTCAAATAATTCTTCGGCTTCGGCCTCCCAAAGTGCTGGGATGACATGTGTGAGCCACCACACCTGGCCCCATTGGCCAACGTCGAAGCAAAAACGTTTTTGCTCAGAGAATGAAGTTAGAGTCTCAGCTCCAAGACTGGTGGCATGAAAGTCACCTTCCTACTGGATTTTGTTCTTTCTTCCCTGGGGAAGGAGCAGCTGCTGCTGATGAAACTTCTGGCTGGATTCATGATTCTTGAAGCATATAGACTTTAAAAAGCAAACTGACCAGACATGGTAGTTCGTGCCTGTAATCACATCACTTTGGGAGGCTGAGCTGGGAGGATTGCTTGAGCCCAGGAATTCAAGACCAGGCTGAGCAAGATGGCGAGAGCCTATCTCTACAAAAAATTTAAAAATAAAAAAATGAGACAGTTGTGGTGGCATGCGCCTGTGGTTCCAGCCACTTGGGAGGCAGGGGCAGGAGTATCACTTGACCCCAGGATTTCAAGGCTGCAAAGGGCTATGATTGCACCACGGCACTCCAGCCTGGGTGACAGAGTGAGGTCTGCCTCTTAAAAAAAGCAAATTGGTCATCACTAAGTAAGTAAAATAAAACTTTGTTCATTCTAATTCCACCAGTTACATGTATGTTTCTTTCAAAGGAGAATGGGTTCTTAATAAGCAAAACATTGCATCATCTTCAACTTCTTGAAAAGTTTGCAAGTAAAGACAAAACAAATTACTCTTAAAAATTCAGAGCTCATGAATAACAACTGCTAGAGACTCCCTGAGCATGTCAGCAATTTCCATGTCCAAAAATTAGTTTTAACCTGTAACAGTACTTTTGGATTTGTGAAAGATTATTGTGTGTGGTAGAAGCATTGAGGTTTGTTATTTTTTCTTAGCTCTCCTCAGGATAAATTTAAATTCCTAACTTTTTTTTTAAATCAAGGCAGGGTTTCACTATGTTGCTCAGGCTGGTGGTCTCAAACTCCTGAGCTCAAGTAATCCGTCTGCCTCAGCTTCCCAGAGTACTGGGATTACCAGCATGAGCCATCGTGCCAGGCCTATATTCTCAGCTTTCTACGTGCATCTATTTATGGCTGGTGCTAAAGGAACAAAGGAACAGGTTGATTGTGGCAAAAATATAAGTATTTCTACCAGGTCAGCCTCCCTCTGTCACTGCTTACTTCAGTGTCCTTCCTCTAACTTTCCAAGGAAGTGAGGATTTCCTCTTTGTCCGTAAGACAAGCGTAACGCCCTTCTCATCCCTGATGTGACTGTCATGTTGGGGAACGCAGTGGGACTCCTTTGTCTCTATGGGCAGTGAGGCTGCATTCTTACTGCTGGGGGTGATGAAACTAAATATATGAATCAGAGCTGCCAGCACTTACGGAATATCTGACCTGTAATGGACACTGCTAATCACTTTATGTGAAATATCTCACTTAGTTAAATACAGGTTCATCTGCACCAGAACTTATGCCCTTGACCCTGAAGCCAGACTTTCTTCTGAAGGTCAAAGTGGGGAAGGATTAAGCAATGTCAGACTCTCAGAGATGGGGTTCAGACAAGTCCCAGACATGTAGTGGCCCCTTCCAGCCATTGGCATGCCCCTCCTCACCCCCACACTGAGCAAGGGCAATCATAACATCAACACATTCCTCTGGGGGTGATGACAGTTGACTTCTGATCTCCCAGCTTAATTTTCAGCTGAATAATCTGCTTCCTAATTCCTTCTCTCCCTGTGCTCTGTTCTTACAGTTGAAGCAATACACTTGGGAAGCCTTATCGCTGCCCAGGGCTACATCTTCCCAATCTCAGACCATGTTCTCACCATGAAGGACGATGGCACCTTTTATCGTTTCCAGGTAAGCCTTCTGGCTCCTTTTCCTCAAGAATCGTTTCTTCTCAGTATCATTTTATCTCAGATTAGAACTACGAAGAAAACCGAAGGGATATTTGAGGGAGTAACCCTCACTCCTCCTCAGCTCTGGGAAAGCCAAAAGAACTTGTGTCTGGGTGATTGGGTGTCCCACTTGAAGAATAGTAAAAGGCTGTCATTGAGAGCCTAACGTTCCCTAGGCACTGTCTTAGTCCGCTCGTGCTGCTGCAACGAAATGCCATAAACTGGGTATCTTATAAACAATAAAAATGTACTTTTCATGGTCCTGGAGGCTGGCAAGTCCAAGATCAGGGTGCTGGCAGGCTCAGTGTCTGGTGAGAGCCTGCTCTCTGATTCACAGATGACACCTTCTAGTTGTATCCCCACATGGCAGACAAGACCTGGGGCTCATATCAGGCCTCTTTTATAAGGGCACTAATCTCATCTTTGAGGGCTTCAAAGGCCCCACCTCCCAATACCATCACCTTGAGGATTAGGATTTCAGCATATGAATTTGAAGAGGACACAGACGTTCAGACCATGGCAGACACTTTGTATAGATTTCCTCATTTATTCTGAAGAGCACACCTTAGTGGGTAAATATCACCCAGTTTGCAGATGAGAAAGCTGAAGTGCTCAAAGAATTAAAGTGGCATTTAGTAAATGCAGGAGGCAGCCTTCATGTGAACCTAAGTGAGCCTGACAGCACAGACCTTGATCTTTCTACTGCCTCATGCCACCTTCCCAGAGTGAAGTTTCTATCTGCCACCTAATCATCCTCCCCACCCATTTTACACTCCTTCTCCCAGATCCTTCCCTAGAAGGAATGAGGGCAGAGGATAGGGGCTTGAGTCAAGGTCTAACCAAAGCGTTTCGGAAAAGAGTCCTTCAGACTAGGATAAAGGGAGAAAAGGAACTTGGGCTTAGGTACCCAGCACGTTGTGCCAGGTTGGCTTTTGTAGTTAGACTTCTATTGTCTCAGGATAGGAGTATATTCCCCTGTGAACAAAACTTCTCAATTTTGCATTTGTTTTGCTTGCCTTAGATTTTGCCTCTCAATGCTTAGATTAAAATGTTGACTCACCTCAGCTGCATTAGCAAAAAGGGGAGCATTGCGGGGTAGCATCAGCAAGGAGATGGGGGAGAGCCTGCCCTGAGGGAGGCTCCTCCCTGGGCGTGGGAGGGAAGAGCAGCATGGCACGCCTCTGAGCCCTGACACCCTTGCTTCTTTTCAGGCTCCGTACTTCTGGCCTTCAAACTGCTGGGAACCTGAAAACACTGACTATGGTGAGAACTGAAGCCACAGCCCACACTGCGTGTCACTTCTGGGTGTGCAGAAGACAAATGCTTGGTGTCTGGGCAACTGCGGTACATGGGGAGGAGGGTCCTCTCTGCTTAGTACTTTCTCATATTGTTGCTGTATAACAAACGTCCTGTTCCACATAACAGAGGAAGGCCCAGCTCATTGAAAGATGTAGTCCTTAGAGGGGAAGCAGGAGAGGGAAGAAAAATCTTATCAAGGGTGGTCAGAATGTTCATCTAGGGCCCATGGAGAACCAGGATCCCACAGCAACACTATGGGATGGTGACTTTTAATTGTTCTTTCCAGGAATAGGGCTTCAGGGTGGGTTGGATCAAGGGGAAACCTCCTCCTGGCCCTTTCTGTTCTCGCAGACTTGTCAAAACTTACTAAGAACCTTTTGGTGTTCTTGATAGTTGCAATTTAGGGGAAAAGGGAGAGGGACCAGGGAGGGGTATACAGAAGTCACCCTAGACTAGGAAAATAAAGAGTAGGTGAAGTTGGGAGTTCAGTCGTCAGTCATGCAGAAGGGCAGGCCTTGGGGCTATCTGCTTGGCTACCCACAGGCACCACTGTGGGCCCTCTGACACTGCTGCACCATAACCGATGTGATAAGTAGATCCAGGAAGGCTTCCAGCTGCGAGTGAGAGCTGCGTTTGACCGCTCATAAAACAAGCGCTTCTGGGACTGAAAAGACTGCTCATGAAAGTCCAACTCGGAATTCAAATAATTATAGCTCAATTCCATGCAGTAGCGTGTGCCCTTGTGAAAGTGAAAACCAATATTTTTCCAAGCAGTGGAGAGGGTGGGAGGGTGGTAAGACCAGATACCTGGGCCCAAGTAAGATTAAAATATTTACTTCACTAAAGCTTAGGCTGTCTGACGCTGAGTACTAAAGGCAACATTTCCGTGCGTCTGCAGGTATTCTTCATTTTATAATTTTAATTGGCATCATGAACAGGGATAGAAATAACAGTTTGTTTGAGGCTCTCATTAAAGAAAAATAATTTTAAATTCCTGTGCCTCTATGGAAAATCAGAGGAAGAAATCAAGGTTCAGGATGCAGAAGTATTCACCAGGGGCCAGGCATGGTGGTGCATGCCTGTAATCCCAGTGACTCAGGAGGCTGAGATGGGAGGATCACTTGAGCCTAGGAGTTCACGGCTGCAGTGAGCTATGATTGTGCCACTGCACTCCAGCCTGGGTGACAGAGCAAGACTTGTCTCTAAAACAAAGAAAAACCGGCACTCCCCAAGATTTCCAAAGCAGTTAAGTTGGAAAATCAGGATGTATTTACCAAGAGAGAATCCAGCACAGTGAGCCCCAGGATCAACCAGTTCTACTAGATGGGTGATATTGGCAAATTACTTAACCTCTCTGTGCCTCGGAGACTTCATATTAAGATTAAAGGAATAATGGCACTTGTGTTCTAATGTTGTTTTGTTAGGAAGAAATAAAATGCATGTAAGGTTCGCTGGGGTAGCGGTTGGTATCACTACTGGGGTGGAGTTGGTATTATTGCCACTGGGATGCTGGTTGATGTCATTACTACTGAGGTGGCCCTGTCACCAGGAAGTATGGGAAACTGAAGCTAAGAATTCAATATAGTATGATTTGGACTGATGAAGTACCCCATAGATTTTCATCCAATCAACAAACATTTACTGGTCCCTACTCTGTCAGATTCTATGTCGGAGGTTTAAGTAAGTCACAGCCTTTCCCCCCAGGCATTCCAGGCTGGAGAGGCAGCATGATGCAGGGAAGAAAGGTGTGGTGAGGATCTGGCTTGAGTATTCAAAGGTTTTATGTGATAAATGATTGAGAAGGCTGAATAGCTTTGGAGGGGCAGGTTTATAAATAGGCCTTGGCAGTCAAGGAGAGACGTTTAGAATGGATTCAGCACTTTGGGGGCGCTATTGTGGGTACCCAACAATGAACAAACTTTCCCAAGTTTTTTTCCAACTTGGGGAAAAATTGATCCATCTGTAAGAAGGGAGTAATAACAGAATCCACCTTATAGGGCTATTATGGGGATTTAGTAAGTGGGCTGTGGAGGATTAAGTAAGGGCTGTGATTTAGCCAGATAGTCCCTGACACTGGGCTCAATGGAAGCAGTAGCTGCTGCAATGGTGATTTTTCTAGCACCTAAAACTGTACTTGGCCCATAGGAGACACTCAGTACATTTTTTAATGAGTGAATGAATGAGCAGATGGATCAGTGAATGTCATAGAGGAAACTCTGCACTGGGCCTCAATTCTAATTCCAATTCCATCACTAGCCCTCAGGTCCATCACTTGACTTCTCTATGCCTTAAGTTTCCCCATCTGTAAATGAAGGGTCTGTACTTGATGGTTGCCAAGGTTACTTCCAATGCTAAAATTCTGTGTTCTAAAAAGCCATCAGAGGGTATGAGTAAGATAGAGAAATAAGTGAGTTATAGGTTCCCTAGTTTAGGAGATTGAGGTAAATGGTGATGTCGCAAGTAAAGGCAGAAAGTATAGAAAGGGGTGAGTCTCTTAAGCACATTGAAATTGGATAAGTTCAATATTTTTTAAGAAATTTAATTGCACAGATAATACATGAATCTGTTCCCTTTATACAATTTTTAAACATGTTCCACTTTTGTAGCGGTGACACATGGTGAACTCAACATGGCAGTGGGTTTATCTACATGAGAGATGAGACATAGGTAAGGGTGCAATGCCAGGTGTCAGGGCAAGGGAATAGACATTTTCAGTAAGGAATTAAATATCCAGGAAAAAACCAATATCTGAGCTTAAGACAGTTCTTCCAGGTGCCCTCTTGTAGGGCTGGCTGTTGTCACCAGTGGTCACTAGAGTTGGCTGGAAGTTAGAGCAAGCCCTGGTGAAGGTACTGTGGGATGCAGACAAGCCTCAAGAGTTCTATGCCAAGAACAGCCACCTCCCACCTCCCTCATTGTGGTGAACAGATTCGTTATGTGACTTTAGGCCAGGGAAGTGAGCTTGTAGTGTGTGACCCTGTGACTCATGGCCATCAGGAGTGGCCCCAGCTCTGCATTCTGTGCATGATACCTGACTTCACAACCCTGCTGTCACATGTGGACATATCTTGGATGTCCAAAGATTTCTTGAGTGACTCTGCCTGCATAAAACCCATAGTCAAATCCGGGCTAGCCTTCTCCGATTTTACATTTGACCAGTGCAAAATGCTGTCTGGGGCAGCATTGTCAAAGCAGCTGCCACCTCCACTACCCTGCACTGCTCAAAGGTAATGAAGACCTGGCCCAGTGGGGCTGGTGACATGTCAAGCTTCCTGCCTAAGATTGCCCCTAATTCTGCCAGGGATCCAAGAGACTGAAGGAAGTACTTTGTGATAGATCAGACACCCCTTTATCAGATGCTGGAGCACTACAGCTGCTTGGTTCATTGGAAAAGTTAGTAAGTAGAAAATAATTTTTTTAATGACATATATATACTTTAATCACCTCATGTAAAGGTAAGATACGCAAATGACCGCTCATTTGACAGCCTCGTGAGGTAGGACCAAAGTCTTTTCTTTTATTATGAGCTGAATAGTTTTAGTTTCTTTCTTAAATCAACCACATTTTGAAATAAACTACCCTGTTTTGGCATCTTTAAAGTGCATCAAGAATGTAAAGACATTTTTGTAGCCTTCCGTTTCCACTTAGAAAACATATTTTTCCCAAGACAATGCTGGGTACATAGCAAGGGCAGTGCTGGGCATATAACAAGGGCAGGTGGATAGATGTATGGATGGATGCATGGGTGGTTGGATGGATGAATGGATGGATGCAAGGGTGGGTGCATGGATGGATGGATGGATGGGTGCATGGGTGGGTGGATGGATCGATGGATGCATGGGTGGGTGGATGGATGCATGAATGGATGGATGGATGGAGGGATGGATGGATGGATGGATGGATGGAGGGATGGAGGGATGGTTGGATGGATGAACAGACGGATGGATGGATGGATGGATGGATGGATGGATGGATGGATGGTTGGATGGTTGGATGGATGGATACATGGATGGATGGATAGATGGATGAATGGTTGAACAGATGGACGGATGGGTTTATGATTCCACTGTGATGCTGGTTTTGTACATGTTGTCATTTCTTCCCGCAGCCATCTATCTTTGTAAGAGGACAATGCAGAATAAAGCAAGACTGGAACTGGCAGATTATGAAGCAGTAAGTATGATTATTTTCCAGGATGCATATAAGAAGAGAGCAAAATCACATCTGCAGCTCTGTCTAAACTTGTATTGTTTTTTTCTTTTGTTCCCTTTTCATCCCTTTCACACAGTGGAAGGGAATTATCTTCTAGTTCTCCTCCTTTGTTCTCAGCTTCTCTTACCATCACAGTAAGGTTGTATTTTTACATAAATAACTCTTAAAACTCAACAATAAAAAGATAAGCAACTCAAAAATAGGCAAATGACTTAAAAGATATTTTACTAAAGATGACCCAGGATAAATAATCCCATGAAAAGATGCTCAACATTATTAGCCATTTAGGAAATGCAGATTAAACCATGGTGAGAAACCATTACATACACATTAGAATGGCCAAAATAAAAAATACTGATCATACCAAGTGATGGTGAGGATGATGGTGAGAACAACTGGAACTTTCCTTCATTGCTAGTGGTAATGTAAAATGGTACAGCCACTCTAGAAAATTGTTTGGCAGTTTCTTTTAAAGTTAGACATACATTTACCATATAACCAGGCAGTCCCCCTTCATTCACACAAAAACCTATAAACTAATGTTCATGCAACCTTTATCTGTGGTAACCAAAAGCTAAAAACAACCCCCAAATGCACTTTAACAGGTGAATGGTCAAACTAACTGTGGTACATCCATACAATAGAATACTCCTCTGCAGTAAAAAGGAATGAACTATTGCTACACATGACCACTTGAATGAGTGCCAAAGACATTATGTTGGATGAAAGAAACCAATCTCAAGCCAGCCATTCCATTTATAGGACATTCTTGAAAAGAATAAACTATCGTGATAAAAAGCAGATCACTGATTGCTAAGGGTTATAGATGGGGTCGGGGAATTTTGGAAGCTGATGGAACTGTTCTGTATCCTGATTGTGGTGATGGTTGCATGAATCTATACAGGTGTTAAAATTTACAGAATTGTACAAAAGGAATAAAGTCAACTTTACTATATAATAATACCTTAAATTGAAATTTTAAATTGCATCTTTATACCCACTCTCCTGTGCTTAGTAATAGAGGCAGAATCTAAGGGTAAAATTCCATTTTAGAAAATAAGATGTATGTCACATGAGGTATCGCTTCTCAGCTTTCTTACCTTCCTCTTCCATCTTCCTTCATAAGATGGGGCTTCTTGCAAAAATTAGAGGCCCCACCACCAAGCTTTGGCCTATTCCCATTTGACAGAGCCCAGAAACCAAAGCACTTGAAAACTCATAGATTTTATTTTATTTTTTTAACTTTTTGTCACAAAATGTTTCCCCCAAACTGAACTTTATATGGGTCACAGAGAATGGGAGAAATGGGCTGAACTTTCATATACCTTCCACTTCCCTCTTCCTATGCGTCTTCCAGAGGATGTGCTGCTGAGCCATGAATGACTGAAGGGCCAGCAGCTGTGGGAGGAGGGGCAACATTAAGGGCAGCAGAGAATCCTTCCCCTGATAATCCTGCATTAACAGCATCTTCAGACCCACCCACCTCCAAAGACCCTCCTGCTTTCATTGCCTCGATCTTTCAAAACAAGTGTGAGGTCCTACTCTGCCAGGCCTTACCTCTCCTAGGTTCATGTTCCCCAGCCTACTAAGCCAGCTGGGCCATTGCTCCCCTCTCTGCAGCTCAAGTAAGAACGTGCATGCCATTGGAGAGCAGGATCTGTGCACGGCCCTTCACCTCTTTGATCCCACTGGCATCATGGACCTGTGAATCGGGCTCGGGGGGCGGAAGAGGAGGAAGCACTGCAGCAGTTTGTCCAGAGCCTTAGAACCTGGCTAGAGTTTGCATTATCAGATGATCATATGTTGGAACATTATGATCTCTCCAGACAAACCTTGGCCTGGTTGTTCTGTGCTCTGGACATCCTGGGAGCCCAGTCGTGCCCCTGTCTGCCCCAACATCCAGCAGTCACGTCACCCCTCCTTCAAAAGACTGCTGTTGGACCCTTTGTACACCCAGTGCAAGTCGCTTTGACATGATGATGTTACTTCCTTAACACAACCTTGAGGAAAGGCCCAGACTGCAGAAGCCTGGGACCCTTCCCTCCTGTGTCTCTTCCCCATATTTTCTATGTTTTAGAAAAGGTCTCACACAGAAGTCAGACAGTATCACCTCATCCTGTATTTGATTGATTTGTCCCTTCTCTTGTCCCTTCATGTTCTGTCCTGGGATTTGTAAAGAATGTGGCAATGGGATGTGCTCTCAGGTTAAAGTTCTGCACAAAAATGATTTGAATCCAAAAAAGCATCTTGCTTCCAAAATACAATAATTTTTTATAAATTTTCTGATTACATATTATTTTTACAAAAACAAAAATTCAAACAATAAAGGAGAGACTATAACCTGTGACTCTCCCCCACCTGTTTCTTCTGTGCATACATTTGTTTTCTCTACAAAACATTTTAGAATCATATCATAAACATTCGTGTGTCAGCTGCTTCTCTTTCCCCAGTCATTCTACTAGAGGTGTCTCGGGGCCCTTACCATGCCAGTAACTATAATCTACATTATTGTGTTTAATGGCTGCCTAGAATTCCATACTATGACTGTGTCACAGTTGATTGGCATTTAGACATTACCAGTTTTGCTTCCTATGAAAGTGGAAGAGTCGAAAAGACAGTTTTTTAGAAGTACTCGTGCACTAAGCCTGGGTAGTAACTGTGAGCTCATGTGTGGTACTTGCCAACTGAAGCTCCTTTTATGTTAATAATCCATTAATGAGGGTAATCAGTTAGTGTTGGTATGAGCTCTATGAAAATACGTAGCATAATATGGGCTCCAGCGTTGCATTCATCAGAACTAGGGGGGTCATCAGGGCGCCTGTCAAACACCCCTTCTCACCATCTATCCTCCTGTTCCATGAGGTAACTCTACAGACTTAGAGAAAATACTTTTCTTTTTCTCTGATGGCAACCCTCAGTGACTTTTCTTTCTGTTTTGGCTTTTTCTTTCATCCATATCACAAACATAGACACTCCCTTTGGGCCACTTTTTTTTTTGAGATGGAGTTTCACTCTTGTTGCTCAGGCTGGAGTGCAGTGGCACGATCTTGGCTCACTGCAGCCTCCCCACCTCCCGAGTTCAAGCGATTCTCCTGCCTCAGCCTCCCAAGTAGCTGGGATTACAGGCATCTGCCACCACGCCCAGCTAATTTTTATAATTTTGGTAGAGGTGGGGTTTCATCCTGTTGGCCAGGCTGGTCTCAAACCCCTGACCTCAGGTGATCCACCTGCTTTGCCCTCCCGAAGAACTGGGGTTACTAGTGTGAGGCACTGCACCCAGCATGGGCCACTTTTGAATCCTGACATTAGAAACAGTATGAAAGCCAGGTCCCCTTGGTTCCCCTTTCCTGTGACCTTTCCAGCTCCCTGCTGGAAGACGAGTCCTGAGAAATCCAGCCTTGGTTTTGTTCCTGGAGATACCAACAGGTGGCAAAGACTCGTCATTAATTCCCCAATAGCCACAAACAATTTTCCCTATTTTCAGCAACCTTTGAAACAAGTACTATGTGAGTTGCATTCCTGTAAAACACATATGAAGAAAGGAATCCGGTGAACCATAGAGACTTCAGACTTAATGGGTGTGTAAATGAGTATTAATAGTTCAGCTCTGTACAGCAGGGTCTGGTGCAAAGTCAGATTGGATGCACGTCCAGGGGATTCAAAGCAGGTCTTGCTATTTTGTTGGAAGTAACCAAAATGGATGGCTGACTTATAATAAGCATAGGTGTCCATGTGCTAATTTACAATGATTAATGCCTTCTTGTTGATTTTCATTTCTTATTAGGAAAACTTAGCAAGACTTCAGAGGGCCTTTGCAAGGAAGTGGGAATTCATCTTTATGCAAGCAGAAGCACAAGTAAAGTAGGTGGACTTAACAGAGACCTTTTCAGAGAGGAAAAGACTCTGGAACTTGGAAATGGTGTGAAGGGGGTATTGTCAAAGTGAAGTTTCCAGATGGCACTAGTATTTCTAATCTGGCATGAGGCTAACTGAGTAGAAATTAAGGTCAGGATGGATAAGTTTCATCTTCATAACCAATATTATTCTAAAGCAGTTTCAGAAATGTGTGTTTCCTCAGGCAAGGGAGATCCTCCCAAAGGTAGAACCCTGGTTATAAGGAGGTATACCTATTTCCCCAAGAAATTTCTGGGTATTTTCTGTGCTCAAAGGCTGAAATCCCATTTTACCCATTGGACTGGAGATTTTGTCTTCATAGGAAAATAGGTTGAGTTTTAGGAAGGACAAGTAGCTCCATCTTCTTCTCCCTAATAGGGGAGGAGTTTAGAACCAATAAAAAAAAATAAGGCACAGAAGTCAGACAATTGGAGTCCAAAATATCAGATTATTATATTAATTAAAAGCAAGATTAGGGCCGGTCACGGTGTCTCATGCCTGTAATCCCAGCACTTTGGGAGGCCAAGGTGGGCAGATCAGCTGAGGTCAGGAGTTCGAGACCAGCCTGACCAACATGGAGAAACCTCATCTCTACTAAAAAGACAAAATTAGCCAGGCATGGTAGTGCATGCCTGTAATCCCAGCTACTTGGGAGGCTGAGGCTGCAGAATCGCTTGAACCCAGGAGGCAGAGGTTGCATTGAGCCAAGATCATGCCATTGCACTCCAGCCTGGGTAATAAGAGTGAAACTCTGAAAAAAAAAGCAAGATTACAGGGCATGACATTGGATCTGTGGCCACAGGTGCAAATTAAACTTGCTCTTCCTGGACAGAGGTGTGTATCTATAGGCCTCCTCTACCCTGCATCACCACCTCCACCCCACCAGGGCAGAGCTGACCCCTGTAAGTTTCCTGCACACAGAGAGCAGCTATCCTGAGCTCAGGCTAACCCACATGGGGGCCCAGAAAGGGAAAGCCTGAACTTTCTCGGTTTCTTCGTTCAAGTCTACCAATTAGTTAAGTCATTTTTCCTCCCCAAAGGGTAAGAGAGGAAAGGAAGAAAAAAGTTGGAAGGTTTTTCCCATATTTTTTTCTCCTGGATATGTAGTGGACATTTCTTCCTCTCTAAGGAAGCATGAGGAATGGGTACTATACGTTCCCTACCCCACAAGCCCATGGTTGTCAACCAGATCCATTGAATTCTGGGAAATAGAATGATTGGACCTGGATCTCCCATGTCCTTCCCAGGGATGGTGTCTAGGTTAACCAGGATGGTTAAGAGGAGAAGTGGGACAGGAACAGGAAAGGGATGCTGAGCTGGGAGAATGGGACTACGTTTCCTCTGGGTACCACTTGCATGTGAGCAGCCCCTGGGTCTTCAGAGAAACCCTCTCACATTCCTGGGGGCTGTTGCAGCTCATGGCCCGGAGCTGGGTCTCAGACTGTGTGAGTGTAGACCCATCACAGCTATGGTCACAGCTGGAAATGGCCTGAGGCCATCTGGTCCAGTGGCCTGTACACTGCCATTGCTGTGACCCTTCCCCCCGCAGTCTCTGCCCTTCTCCTGCCCATGATGCCAGCCACCTCCTGACCACCCAGCAGCCCCCAGGGTAGGCGGGTACCAGGCACTGGGTGTCCCTGAAGAGGTGAAAGTGGGAGAGTAGGTGGGATGGAGACTGGGATTCTACTGGGCTGAGGCAGAATTGTGCCTGTGTACTCAGAAGCCACTGGAAAGCAAAGAGGAGCACTAATTTGTTCTTCCAGGATCACAAGCTATAAACAGAGGGGAAATTGTTGCTTCATAAATATATGGTATTTCTCGATTAACTTTTTTTATTAACTCTGTGATTATATTATAATTGTGGGCCATCTAAGTACACAGTAATTATTACAAAAATTGCAGGGTGATTATGGGTTTATTTCAGTCCAGAAAACTAAAGTGTTCCCAAGAGAGCCAAGAGCCAGGAGTTACGGGGCAATTAATCTGAGTTGCTTTTTACTTGAAGAAATAAAATGAAGTAATACATGCTTTTTTTGAAAAAGAAAAAGCCTCTTAGCTGCAGATCAGAACAATAAGAATCTGTCCTTGTCACCTGCAGTTTCCCTCTTGCAATTCGTGCCTCCCCCAGCTAAGGCCAGTGATATTTGCCTCCTGGATGTTGTCTGCGCTAGGGCCATTATACCACCTCAAGAAAGCCAGGTGGCGTAAGTGACTTATAAAACACATAATTGCCGCGTTTTAAAGATGTTTCTTTCTACTGATTCTAAATCTAAAGCAAACTTTCAAATTTGAACATGGAACACTGGCAAGATGGTGGTTCTATTCCTTCTTATAATTTGTATATGTAGTATCCTTTTTGATGAGAGGGGCATGTCAATGGATAAATCAGTTCTTAATCATCCAAATCTCAATACTTCAGATGAACAGCTGCATTCTTGTTCTTCCCTTTAGGCCACCATGTTCATTACACATATGGCAATCTGTAATCTAGCCTAAAACAGGTTCTCTTACCATGTGTGGAATTTCTGAGGTTTTTGGGAGGAAGTATACGCTCATTTCACAGTCTGCAGAGAGCAGGCACTGTGCAGGGACCAATAGCCTTGTGGTCACTTACCTCCGAAAACAGGAGCAAATGCTGGGGCAAGTGTCAGGGAAAAACGGAAAAAAAAAAAAAAAAAAAAAAAAAAGCTTTTAAGCCAACTAGGGTAGTTCTGTAAAGGAAAAAAAAAAAAAAAAAAAAAGACATAAAAAAAAAAAAAAAAAGCCTCTTATTTCCTTCCTCTCTTTACTCTTTCAGGATTGACCGGAAAAAGGACAAGACAGAAAGGAAAATTTTGGATAGTCAAGAACGAGCCTTTTGGGATGTCCACAGGCCTGTGGTGAGAAAGCTCTACTCAGTTCTCTAGATTTTTTTTTTGTTCTTAATTTTTTCATTTTCATCTCAATAAGGAAAAGACTGTCTTTAGCCACCAGGTTCTCATTCTTAAGAAAATGACGGAGCTTTGTGGAATTGCTTTTGCCATTCAGTTATATAATCTCAGTAAATTTTCTGGAATATCTGTAAGTTCCACCTTTTAAAAATTTTTCATCCTTGAAAATATGGAATTGCAAATGGAGGAGCTATGAGAATTCTACCAAAAGACCTTTGAGCCCCAAACGTTGACATTCCCCAAATTGACAATTTCCATTTCCACTGCCATTCAACTCTAAATCTTAAACTATTCTCTGCCAAATACAGTTAATCCTTGTTATCCATGGCAGTTACATTCTATAAAGTCTTGGCAAACACTGAATTAGCGCACATCACTCCTGTGGGAACTACCAAGCTAGGTCCCCGTGGGCCTGTGGCCACAACATTTTTATCAGCCGATCAATACATAACCTTTTAAATGTGTTTCTGTGTAAAGATACCTTATGTCATATATATCATTGATTCATTAACATTAAACTCATAGCCAACAGCACTATCGCTCATGCCCGCACAAAGCTTAGCTAATACATTTATTTCCTCCGAAGGCACATCAGAGCACTCTTGCTTGGGAATGGCGGACAGCACTTCAGTACCTTGGGGCCATTTTAAACAGCAAAATCACCAACATAAAGCACAAAAATGCAGAAAAGTTGGCAATAAATAAGCCCTAAATAGACAGGCCTGAAACAAAAAGGCAGGACGTCACCTTGTTCAATTTCAGTGGGAAACACGCACATCAGGCTACTCAAGGGGCAACTATGGATTAAGGGGTTACAAATGAAATTCAGCAAGTAGGCAAATTTACAAATGCAAAATTTGTAGATAACAAGGTTTGACTGTATTTCTAATTTCACTTTATTAAAACAAATCTTTCATTTTCCTCATGAAATGGAACTAAAAGGGAATAAACTATTTGTCTTCTTAAAATTTGATTGAAAGCAAAAAATAAATAAATAGCTACTCATCCTGATATTGTGGAGTCTTTTTCAAATAGTTAAGTATGTAAAAATTTTTTTAAAGGCTGTTGCTGATGTAGTCTTGCCACTTGAATAGTTAATTTTCACTTAGAAACTGTGCACTATCCCCGTTACGTATCGTCCTTAGATTATGAGGTAAGCTCTTCTATATCATATGAGAAGTCCAAGAGGAACACATATTATGGCAAAATGGAAAAAAAAAAAATCATTCATTATCTGTAATCGCAAAAGGTAAAGGTTGGTCCCGATGGTGTTACCTGGGCTAAATTGGAAGTGTAATTTTCACTTAGTAATTTATATGATGTGCTTTTTTTTTTTTTTAATCTCAGCCAGGCTGTGTGAACACAACAGAAATGGATATCCGAAAATGCCGACGTTTGAAGAATCCACAAAAGGTTAAAAAGGTTCGCTGGCTTAGCTGAGTTAAAAATTCTTGATGTGACTAGCCCTCCCAGTTCTAGTACTATTCAAATAGTAATTTGCTACTTGTCATTCTACCACCTTTTGTCTTTTGAAACCATAACCATTTCGCAAATATTGATTGGGCAGCCAATGCATGCTTGGTGCTGTGTTTGTGCTAGGATACGGTGGCAGGTCCTCATGGATCCCACAGCCTGGCAGGGAATAAAACAAGCCAACAGGCAACAGGGCCATGAACGCTGTGTTAGGAGAGTCATGGGACAGTTGAGGGGCCCAGGAGGGGCAGCTGAGCCAAAGCTGGAGGGGGCAGGGATGGGGCTTCCCAAGGACTTCCTGAAAGAAGGTCAGGTGTTCTGAAGGGTGAGTTGCAGTTGTCTCTGGGGAGGTGGCAGGGAGGGGAGGAAAGAAAAGGAACAAGAAGTGGCAAAGCTCACAAGTGAAAGCGAGCTTTGAACTTAGAAACAAATGAAAGTCTTTTTTATGTTTTATTTTTTTGGTAGAGCTGGATCATCCAAACTCAAACCACCATCCTGCCCAATTGTTAATGACCTGGTGGTCACTTGTGTTTCACTTTACTGAAAGGAGTAGTGGCCACAGCATACCTGAGGGTGCCATGCTCACACTCCCCATGATCCCTATGTCCCACCCTCTCCACAGCACCAGGGACAGTATTGCAGGAGAGCATGACCAGACTCCATAATATTACCTTCCAAAGAGTGGCGATGTGTCCCCACACATTCCTGTTTCTTCTGATGACCAATTAGCTTTCTCTCGTGTATGTATTTAAAAAAAGACACACACACACACACACACACACACACACACACACACACACACAAAATACATGGCGTGCGTATACTTATAAACTTCTTCAGTCTCCTTATGTATTTTGTTCTTCACTGAGATAACAATACAGTACACTGTATTATACTTTAAAATATTAGCCCTAAAATGTCCTCATTTCATCTTCAAGACCCCCCTAATTCTAGTATTGCAGAATTTTGTGGAGTCACATCCACTTCATGTGAGCCCTCTTGATTTTCAAGATTTGGGCTACACATTACATGCCCTTCAGGATTTTGTTTCTTTCCCAGTGCAAAGATTGTGTTTAGTCTGTCCATAATTCCAGGAACAGCTTTAAACATAGCTGTAGCTACAGACCTGTGGAGAAACTGAGGCCAGAAAACTGTTTAACTTGAAAGGGAAAACCTGAAACCCCGCTATCCCAGTTTTGTACCAGATGGTCATCTGCTGACTGGCAGAAATGTCAAGGGGATCTTTCGTGCATATGCTTCCACAGTGGCTCTTCAACCTCCTTTCACCTCAGAATAATTTGGGGCATTTGATAAAAGTGCAGATTCCCAGACCACCCACAAAGATTCCGAAGCAGTAAGTCCAGGGGAAGAGGGGACACTCAGCAATGTGTCTTTTCCAAGCACACCCAGGAGATTCTTTGCAGATGGTCTATGGACCATATTCAAAGAAACACTGAGATACAAGGAGGCTATTCTCAGCACAATAAAAGGCAGGATTTGGGTTACAGTGGTACCCCAAAGATGAGATGCCTTAAGAGACAGCATTCTCCTCATTGAAGAAATAAAAGCAGAGACCAATCTCTTATTGTCATGATTGGATTCAAGAAATTGGAAGAGTCTTTGAACTAGCTGACCCCTAAGCCACCCTCTGACTCCGCGGGTAGATGATCCTACATTCTTGCTTCTTCTCCTAGTCCGTGTATGGCGTGACCGAAGAGTCCCAGTCACAGAGCCCCGTGCACGTACTCAGCCAACCAATCAGGAAAACTACAAAAGAGGATATCCGGAAACAGGTGAATGAATTGTCAGCTTGCACTCCCAGTAGGAGATGTGGCTAGTTTAAAAACCTTTTCAAATGTTCACTTCTGAAGATTGAGCAAGCTTTGAGTTCCTGAAAACCACAGTGGAACCCAGCTGTGGGTGACTTGAACCTTTGAGTGCTGTGTGAGAATGAGCCACGGAAGCTGGAGAGAAAGAATTCTTTACCCAGTTCCTCCAGCAGTTATTAGAAAAGGGCGTAAATGAGTCCTCCCGGGCCTGGGGGTAACCGCGCTAGCGGGGTTTCCCACAGTCTGCTGCGGGAGCTGGAGAAAGGAGGGGCTCATGTCACGTAGTCCTTAAAACTGGAATGCACTTCCAGACTAAACCAGCTCAGGATGGTTGACTTTATTGCTGTGATTTGAAAGGAAATTTTAAGAATAAATAAAGCCCTACTCCCAATGCCATTTCAGTATTACTTGGCTGAATGTTATTTTTTTTTCACGATGAGGAGCCCATGTCAATAGACAATGACTAATTATATTACTTCCTTCTGATATTTACTAATAATTAATTAACGTTAGGGCCTACTATTTATATTATGCCTTGTTGGGTCCTAGAGAGCAAAACCCAAAGGAGTAAATTTTTAGGTACTTGCCCTTGACAAGTTCATTATCTGGTTGGTAAGAGGGAACCAAAGTATGAAAAAAAGCTATCTGGCTGGGCGCAGTGGCTCACACCTGTAACCCAGCACTTTGGGAGGTCGAGGCAGGTGTGGCTCACCTGAAGTCAGGAGTTTGAAATGAGGCTGACCAGTATGGTGAAACACCATCTCTACTAAAAATACAAAAAAATTAGCCGGGCGTGGTGGCGTGTGCCTGTAGTTCCAGCCACTCGGGAGGCTGAGACAGGAGAATCGTTTGAACCTGGGAGGTGGAAGTTGCAGTGAGCTGAGATCACACCACTGCACTCCAGCCTGGGCAACAGAACAAGACTCTATCTCAAAAAAAAAAAAAAGAAAATTTGATGATCCCAGTCAAGCATGCCAAGAACACAGAGGTGACATGCGTGTGAAAGGTGGCAGAGGAAGGGTCACTGGGGATTGTTCAAAACAGGTATCTATAGTGCGCATTTCACCTGTCCATGCTGTTGCTAAGCTTCTTAGACTATGTATTGCCTTTAAGTTTTGGAAAGCAAGACTTAAATCACACCACAATACAGGAGGAGATGAGATGCAGGCTAAATGGTAGAATATGAATCTTGTGTGATAGGGATGTCCAGAGCCACAGGTGAGTTTCTGGAAGGCAGAGCTGAAGGAGTCGGAGATGTCTGGCCAGAGGAGGTATTTGGATCTTGGTGGAAATGCAGGATTTGGGTTTGGGGAGCAAAGGGAAAAAGTAATTTTAGTTCGGTCTTAACGTCTGTGTTCTCTGTTTTCTCAGATAACATTTTTGAATGCACAGATCGACAGACATTGTTTGAAAATGTCCAAAGTGGCTGAAAGGTATGTTTTCTCTTAATAATATTACTCCTTTCTTCTAATTTAACAAGGAAGAAATGTTACAGGGTTGTGGTTAACAAATGTGTTCAATGCCAAGAGTCAGACTGTAGTTACTCCTTAGACTGAGGTACAAAAAAACCCCACAGCTCCATGTGAGTAGAACTAAGATAACATAGCTCCCTTGAGTGATGTCAAGAAATATTCCGTTACTAAGGTTTTACATACAGGGAGTGGCCACAGGACCTTGTCAATCAAGGAAGAATGTCCTTAAAAACTACATAATGCACCTTTGCCTTCAGCCTCTTGATTAATTCAAATGGAAATTGCTCCCTTTTCAGCTATAAAATGCCCAGATTCACTTTATAGGGGAAAAGAAATTATGTGTGTCCTCTGAGGCACTGGCCGGATAGACAGGAGGGAACTGAATCATCAGGAAGAGATCCGCCTCCACATACCATCAACCACTGAACTGCATCGAATCAACTGGAAAGAAAATATATGGCCCCTCCAGCCTATCCTCCACCATAACGTGTGTGCTTCAGTCTGCATCAGTAGCTGGTTCCACTCCGTTAATTCGTGGGAGACTCAATTTTATCAACTAAATGCTCTGTTTTTTTAACTCTTCCATGAAGACAGGAGACCCCATGGGGACTTTATATGGAATAAATCTAACCAGGCAGCTCAGTACTGAATATTTATTTGTCCATATGCTACCGTTAAAGCAACGACCAATTGCTGAAGGAATCAAGAGCTTAAGTTGGATCTTGGTATTTATTGGATGTCAGATAAAGTGAGTCTTTTAGGCCCAGCTCTTACAGGGGGCTAGCTGTGTGAGGCCCCTATAAGCCCGTAAGTCTTTCTCTGCTGGCGCCTGTGTTGATCCACATCTGATAAATAACAACAAATGGAAGCTATAACAACTCCAACCCCAAACAAAGAGTCTGATTGAACACCCTAACTTCAGGGGCTAAGGACGTCCCTCGATTTGGGCTGATGTCTTTATCTCTTCCAGGGTTTCTCGATTGTGACACCAGTGACATTCTGAGCCAGATAATTCCTTGTCGTGTTCTTAATGTCCTGTGAATTATAGGATATTTAGCAGCATACCTGACCTCTCCCCATTAGACGCCAGTAGTCCCCATACCACCACAGTTGTGACAACGAAAAATGTCTCCAGACGTTGCCAATGTCCCCTGGGTAGGGTGAAAGTCACTCCCATTGAGAATCACTGATATTCCTGCTTTCTCTCTGCAAAAGTTCTAGAAAGTTGCCACGGCCGGAACTCAGCTTACATTCAGGTACCAGTCATCCTGAAGTCACCGTTTCAGCTAGCTGTGTGGGCTGCAGAAACACCTCACACTGCCTCTCTCATTATGTGTGGCTTCTGGCCAGAGTCCCAGGCTCTGAAAATGCTTTTTAGGTGTCACTGTGGTTCCTTTGTCCCTGAAGAGCGGCTGTGAGTGAAGCAGCAGCATGTCCTCAACTCTCTTGGTGTCATCCATAGCCTGTGAGGAAGCACCAGCTTCCTCCTCTGTGAACTCAGGACAGAAATGACTGTCCTAGTATACTTTGTGGGTCGGTGTGCCAGCAATGCTAATATCTGGCCTTGGAAGGGCTCTTTAGGGTTTGCAATTTAGAAGAGCATATATATAGGAGCATCTTTCTTTGGATCTAGTTGCTCAGGTCCCGTGGTTCTAAGTAGCATTATCCAGGTGAGGGAAGGGGTTAAAAAATGGAAATTTCCAAACCTCAGCCTGAGGGATTCAGATTCAGTGGTTCCAGGGTACAGCCAAGAAATCCACATTTTGGATAATCTTCAGGTAGATTGACCTGGTCTTTCACAATCTGGTGAAGCCATTGCCTGCTACTCAGGCTGACCTGAGAGCTCACATCAGTAAGAACATCCAGTTTGTTGTAATCTTGGGATGCAGGGAAAGAGCCTGAACCAGTCGGATGAGATAGGCAGACTCCAGGGAAGGTATGCAGAGGCCAAGGAATGGACGAAGTCAAGGTGGGGGCGGGGAGCCTGTCCTGTCCTATTATTTGTTTGTTTCCTTGCTGTCAGGGAGGGGCCCACCTGGTACTGCCTAATTACGCTTGAGAGGCTGCTCATACTGAAGGATTATTCCAACTGGCTACTCCTCAGAGCCCAGCTAGAAGCTTTCATGAGCCTCTGCCCGGCAGAGGCTGGATTTTATTCCCAGCAGCAATAACTGGCAACTTTTCAATGTGACACTAGGGTTTTTCATTAGAGCCGCAAGGAAACCCCCAGATAGGGAGGAGGAGGGAGAGGAGATGCGTGTTAGCTAGAGATAAAGCAGCTGGGAGCAGGGCCTGTCAGTGGGTCTGTGAGGATGGGGCCAGGGAGGAGGTGCTGGCAGCTGGTGAGAAGCTGCCAGAGGCACAGACTGAGCTCTCTCAGGTGGGCACACACATCCACATCCCGATCTGGCTTCCCTGGGCCTGCTCCAGGTGATAAGCGACAGTTCATCAGAACCGCATCCCCCAGGAAAGGTCTTCATCATTTTTCACTGAGTTCCGTGAGGACTAACAGTGAGGAGAGGCAGGAGGGCTGGGGGCAGCGAACCTGGGCTCTGGGATGACTGCAGTCAGGGTTAGACTAAAGGGTGCATCCAGACCAGCAGGGAGGGAATAAGGGAACTTTACAAACTAAAGGGGCAGAACAGACAGTTGAGGGGATGGGTCCGGAATCGATCATCAAGGTTTGAATCCTGCCCCTGCCATTTCCTATTTTTTTGTGTGTGTGCTTTAGGATCTGGGTACATGTGCAGATCACGCAGGGTTGTTGCATAGGTACTTACATGGCAAGGTGGTTTGCTGCCTCCATCCCCCTGTCACCTATATCTGGCATTTCTCCCCGTGTTATCCCTCCCCAACCTTGCACCACCCCGTCCCTCCCCTAGCCCTCCACAACAGACCCCAGTGTGTGATGCTCCCCTCCCTGTGTCCATGTGTTCTCATTGTTCAACACCTGCCTGTGAGTGAGAGCATGTGGTGTTTGATTTTCTGTTCTTTCCTATTTTCTAACTGATGAAGCCAGTGGCTGCTTCTCTCGGTGCCTGTTTCACCTCTTTAGAGGGGAGGTAGTAGTCACATTTAAGTTACAGAGTTAATGAGCTCATGCATGGCAAAAGCATGGTCCAGTCCTTTGGTCCAGTATGCACGCTAGGAATGTGAATGCTGCCGATGGTGATTTTCCAGCATAGCACTTGATCGGGCTTCAGAAGAGAGCAGAATTCAAGTGCATGGCACGGAATGAACTGGATATATGGTGCTTAGAGGAGCAAACAAAGGGCAGGCCAAGGAGGGAGGCTGCTAACGCAGTTCTTTCCCGCACCCTCTGCCTCCTCTCAGTTTCCCACGCAGAGGTCTCTGCAGGCTGCCTCAGGCTGACCTTGCCCTGCCCGTCTCCTCCCACCGCCTCACACGCCATCAATAATCTGGGGCTTTGGGGGAGAAAAGACTTGCGCTTCAGCACAGAATTTCTCAGGCCATCCCAGTTCCAAATATTCTGTCCCTTGTCTTCATGAATGCTTAAGTGTCCCCAGAATGCCAGCATCATGGCAACCAAACTGCATTTCCTGGGCTGCCTTCTGCCCCTGGAAGCGACACACAAGCCTTTCTGAGCTGTTAGCCAATTTCTGTTGCAGAACGTATTGTCCCTGCACACACACATGAATGCCTCAGATAAATGACACTTGACACCCTAAGCTTTTTATTTTAACTATTTTTAATGGCAGTCTTTCTTCAGTATGCTTCATGCACTTGCCTTCCTAACAAAAGGACACCACATTTCAGTTACTTTTTCTAGATGACTCAGAGTCAGGTGTCTTCTATTGTGCTTTAACACCGTCAGTGGTCGGGATCTTAGAAGGTGCCACAAACTGCTTCCCCTTCCCTAAATGGCCCCAGATGATAATGTTCTTTGAATTCTTGTTTCTGTCTTTTAATTGTCTGCCTGCTTGTCTCTACTAACCCTTCCCCTTCTCTACCTAACCCCGCCTCCTTTCCAATCTGTAGCAGACCAGGTGTATCAGCTGTTGCTGAGTAACAAAACACCCCAGAGCTCAGTGGCTTAAAAAGTAGGTTTTTACTATTCCTCACATGTCTGTGTGCCACCTGGCTCCACTGGTCTCAGCCATGTTTCTCTGTGCGGCTGCGGGTTGTCTAGGCAGTTCTGCTGATCTTTGCTGCGTCCTCTCACATGTTTGGCTTCTGCTGGTTTAGGATGGCCTCAGCTGGAACAATGGAGTGTCCCTTGACATGCTCTCTCACCCTCCAAAGGGCTAGTTTCACCTTTTCCACATGGGGAAAGTGGGATTCCAAGAGACAGAATGGAAGTGCACAAAACTCTAGCATTCTGTCACTTTTGTTTCCTTGTGTTGGGTAAAACAAGTCACTAAGCTGGACTTGATTCAAGGGTTGAAAAATAGACTCCTTTTTTGACACTGAACTACACCAGGAAATCAAATAACCAAACTTCTTAGCCTTGATCCTAAAGCAAGTGTGAGTTGTGTTGTTTTTGGGAGGTGTGTTGTTCCAAGTAACAGACCATGAACCTTGAGGCATGGCATTTATTTCAACTGTAGACTGCTCATAGGCTCTTACAGCCACTTAGCTCATTTGTGCGCTCTGGACAATTGAAGTTGCCAGGTAAATGAGGTCTTACGCTTCTGTGCAAGCATCCCCAAGGGAGCCCCTTTTTAATTCACCTAAGCTTTATAGCACTTGACAAACCAACTTTGAGAAGCAGAACTCTATGCATTTTATTCCCAAATTGTCTAGAGTCTCCACATGTGGCTGCAATCCCCAGAGACTTCTTCCCACCCATAGCGAGCTACACCGCAATCACTGCAGCGATCCCAACGCACTGCCCGCACACAGAGAGACCAAGTCGTTTCATTTCATACCTGCGTCTGTACTTGGCTCATCCTCACACTATTGCTGGGAGCCATTTGTGTGTCACAGCTGACTGCTGAATT